CAGGTGCCTACTAACCTGAATGAATAGAAGCAAGTTGCTGTCTGTGGCTTCAAAGTTGAGCTGTGGCGCAGTTTTCATGCACCAGGGTCCGTGCTGGTCGCGCTGCAACAGACAGAGCTAAAAGCTACAACAGAGCCTAGGCTTTGTGTTTTCATGGCAGGGGAGTCGCTCTCCCTCATCTCTCTAGTCGCAACATCAACAATTCTAATAACCAAGGGAGCAACCGAGCTCACCACGGCTTCGGCCAGATCGACACACATACTAACCAACAGGGACACTATAGTGGGAGGTTATATCGCCATATTCCAGTCTGAGCGGAAAGTTAAAGAGACTTTGGCCCATATCTTGCAGAACATTCAAGAGCTCCGCGGCATTCGACAAGCTACGCATAAAGAACCCTATATCAGACGCTCTTAGCCAACCTCTTCGTGCTCTGCCCACTTCAGACACTCGAAATGGCCACTCCCGTTCGGACAGCCACCATCGCTGGCCCTTCAGTGACCGATAGTCCAGGCACCTGGCGTCACCCGCGACTCAATGAGATCACCAGACGTCGTAATGCGACGACCTTTTCAGAGAAGAACGTGCGCCAGATCGCCTACAATGTTATTGCGCTGCTAGGGTTCTGGTCTGCACAGCTCCTAGCCAAGCTCAACATTGGCTCTCAAGCGTGAGTTGCCGTCTGCTGCCTTTGCGACTGGTCATAACTAACTTGGTTGTTCAGTCTTCCTAGTACTTTCAGAGTATACCTGGGCTGGGCGTGGTTCATTCTTCAACTCATCCCCTTCGTCAACATTGGCGTCGCATGTCTGCCTTTGATTCGACCGAAAGACGATCTATCCGACATTCCTCTCACATCTGCCCAGCGCCAACTGCTGGGTCTAGATCCTTCGTCGGCCGCGCCAACTCCCGACGCCAAGTTCAGCACCCCTCCTCGATACTCTCGCACACCTTCCCTCGGTGGTTCAGTTGGAAGCCGTGGAAGTTACAACAGTTCACCTCTCTCTGGCCGAGGTAGCCCCTTTGTCCAGGGATCCCCGTTGGGAAGCCCTCTTTTCCAGAAGAGCACCAACAGCTTCGGGAGTAGCTTCGGCAACAGCTTCAACGGCAGAAGATCTTCTTTCGGATCAACAAGTCCTTTCGCTGCTAGCTCTTCTTCCAATGTCTTCTCTGACCCTACTTCTCCCGGCACTCCTGGTGGTAAGCGAACAAGTGTTGGACTGAACAGCAAGTGGTTATATGAGAAGGGACGACGGCCGTCCGGTAGCGCATGGGGCAAATAAACGGTGATTCTTTAATGAGAGTGCGTGTTTCGGACAAGCATGTTTACACAGCAGCACTTTAAGCACCGTGGTCTATTAGATAGTCTGTTCTGCATGTACAAGATTTGACTGAGTTGAATGATTGACCCAACGTAGATATACTTGGCTGAGGGTCGTACTGGAGTTATGGAAACTCTTGAATACTAAATAAATAAAAAGTTTAATGATCTATCTGATCGGTCATGGAGAAGAAGTGGAGTAAAGGCCTGAGAACGGTGATGTTGAAATATTATTTTATTGTCACAAATCGATATAGTTCCTAATCAACTCATTGAAATATCACCATAGGGCTGCCCATGTAGCTAACCTCTTACTGCCACTTAGCTACCCTTCAATCTTGACGACTGGACGGCCAATCAACGTATGAGCTTGGGTCTTTGCAATAATGTCTTCTGCCTCCTCCATTGTAAGCAGGCTCAGATGACTTCGAATCCCATGGTCAGTTACAAACTTCATCATCTCCCTAGTTTCCTCCATACTGCAGTGAACGATACCCTTAACTACAATCTCTCTCAACACAAGATTCATCGGATCAAATCTGAATCCGTTTTCCGGGAAGCCAGCTGCGACCAATACACCTCTTGGTTGCAATTGATGAGCGGCCCAGTCATTGGCGTCGTCATCGCTGTTGCATATAACAGCAGCCTTGAGACCAATCTCGTCCGTGAAATCAGAGATCTTTCGGATCGTTTCTGGATCATCGTATTTGAGGATGAGATCCGGTTTAAGATGAGAAGGAACCTCTGTTGCGAGCCTCAGCCCCGTCTCATGGTTGTCGATGGCTGCAACTCGATAACCTCGAGCTTTTGCAAATTGGATACCAAGAACCTCAAGACCGCCTATTCCAACTATAGCTACAGTCTGTCCTGCTTGTACATCCGCTTGGTTGATGGCGTGCCAAACAGTTGCCTGAAACCTGTCATCAGTATATCCCGTTGAAAGCATGTTAGCTTCGTGGAAGACTCACCCCAGCACACATCAAAGGGGCTGCTTGCTCGAAACTCATATTATCCGGCAGATGAACAAGAGCGCCATGCCAAGAAGTCATGTACTCAGCAAACGCTCCATCGCGACGGAGAATGCCGCACATGGTTCTATTGTCACAGAACCTTGGATCAAGAGACCCGATAGTCTGGGTTGCCCATTTACATCCCTTGCAATTGTCGCAAGGATCCATAAAGTTTGTAACTCCTACACGGTCTCCCACATGTCAACCTTCTGGTACGTCAGACCCGCGGCTGACTATAGTGCCAGCTGGTTCATGAGAACCGATAAATGGCAACGGTACCTGTGTAAGACCATGATGTACCATGAGATCAGAGTGGCAAAAGCCAACAGTGGCTACACGAACAAGAACCTCATCTGGCTTTGGGGTTGGTACTGGGGCATCATCGCAAAGTTTATAGCCCTTGTTGTACTGGAAATTGTTATAAAATGACACCAAGCTCGCCTTTCACTTTCATGTGGTTCTTACCTCGAGCAATCTTAGTGCTTTCATCTTCTGAGGGGGAGGAGGATGATTCGCCATTGTTGAAATGCCACTGTGGTCATCCGCCGATATGAGAAAAGAAATAACTGGCAGATGTAGGCATCTTTGAGGCGCGGTGGTGTTTTATGGTTAGATTTTACCAGAAGGTCTTATGTCATCTGCCAAGAGAGTCTTATGTGTGTAATGCAGAGCTGTCTGAGACACAAGTCAAACTGAGAACGAGCCGGAACCCTCAGACCAATTCGTGAGAGAAGTGATGACCCGGCATTAGTGCTCACTCTGGCCGGCTGTGGCTTGATGGGAGAGGGGATTATACCACGCTGTCCAACGTCTGAACAGGTAACGTGTTTACACATTCCAATCAAGCTGCAAGATTATCCATGCTCATAATGTATGGAGGACGATGATGTTGTAAGGGATATACATATCCGTAATATTATTATATATGAGTTGGATAGTTATACAACTGGAGATGCTTACAGCTTCGTCATGAACTCGCTCTTCTCATTCTCGAAAATGTTGGTAAGTGTTCCAATGTGTGGCAGGATCTCAACTGCAAATTCGTCGCGGTGCCTCAGAGCATCCTTTGGTGTTCTGCCCATTCCAACACCCGCCGGGGTACCAGTAACGATGACGGTTCCAGGAGGAAGAGTGGTGCCCTGCGACAGCCAGCTAATAATCTTTGGGACGGAGAAGATGAGATCACTTGGGAATAGTCAGTATAAAGGTTCGGGTTTAGGTGATGCCACTTACTCAGTTCCGCTCTCCTGGTACACCTCGCCATTCTTAAGACCTCGCATGTGAAGCTTGGAAGGGTCTGGAATCAACGACTTCAGGACAAGTGTAGGGCCTACAATATCATTAGCTAGGGTTCGCTGGCTGCTTACACAACCTTACCGAGAGGGAGAGCCCCGTCGAAGCTCTTGGAGAATGACCACTGGGACTGGTTCAGTTGCTGAGTACGACTAGAAACATCGTTGGCAGCAGTGTATCCGAGAACATAGTCCAAAGCCTCGGCTTCACTAACGTTCTTGGCTGTCTTGCCAATGACGACTGCCAGCTCCGCCTCGTAATCGCCAGACGAGTCTACCTGGCTCAGCTTGGGAACAGTTCCCTTAGCAGGCCAAGGGTCCACGAGAGATGTGCTGGGCTTCCTATCATCGGGTCAGTTTGAAGTCTAGGTAAAGAGTGTAAGTCACTTTACATGAAAATGACCGGGATTGGTGGAGGCTCAAGTCCGCACTCGGCAGCGTGCTTTCTGTACTGAAAGTGAAGAGTTAGTCGACGAAAACACTTTGAGGGACGCATTGCACATACGTTCAAGCCGACACATCTGATAGTGCCAACCTCATTCTGTGCAAGAGGAGACAAGACGCGGTCGATGGTCTCGGTAGTGCCAGTCGATGATCCTGGGGCCAAAACTGATGAGCCTGACCATACATTGACAGCAACCTCTTGACCCTTGCGCAAGGCAGCGCCAACGTCAATGTTCTTGTCAGCTGGCTGGCCAATAAGGATCTTGGAAGGACTAGATCTTGGGACGAAACGCACGAGGCCTATTGATGCTTGTTAATACAACGATGCTTTGACAACAGACAGTGAAATAAATAACTTGCGCTGAAGAGTAGATGATGCCATATTTTATGTTTTATTACTAAGACTGATTGATAATCAAATGAATAGTTCGAGATCAAGAAAAGACAGAGACAACATATAGGGGATAGTAAGCTCTTTATAATGGCAGAGTTTAGTTAACGCCGGCTTCGGCATTCGTCCCCGGATAGTATATCATGCACAGGGTAGCATCAACGTCCGGAAACTGGGTCCGGGTCGCACTGTTCTCCGTAGGCTACGGATACTCGCGATCGGTTCGGGACTTTAACGGATTGAATAGTTTGTTATTATCAAACATGGAGCAAGGAGATGAAAGATATGAGATGTACGAAAAGACAAGCGAGCACTTTGAAACCAAATTCTATTTGTTACCTATCTTCTTATATCAATTATCTGGTGGTGAAATACTTATTAGAAGCAGAAAGCCACTATATTTCGAACATTTAAAGAGAATCATCTACGCCACAATGAAGCTACTACAATGCTCTACTTGTGGAACAACTCATCACACAATAAAACGATGTAGCTCTCGTTTAGAATAACAGTATCAATAGCTCAGAAACGCAAAAAGATACTGCGCGATCCGGGGATCGAACCCGGGACACTCCTTTTCTGTTATTTCCCACCACTTGGGGGAGGAGAGTTTTACCACTAAACTAACCGCGCTGCTATTGCTGCTTGTTTGATTAGAGAATTGGATTGAATGCCCAAGTAGGATAGCGACAGTGAGGTTTTCCCTCGTGTAACTAGACATGTCCAAGGTGAACCAAATGAGGGGATGTCGAGCTTCTTATACACGTCCAAGTTGATAGGGTCCACTTGGATGACCTGCTTCAAGGATCGTGTCGTGTGGGACAATGGGACGAACCTTACTGCATTGGTTCTAAACTCTTTCTGTCTGCTTACCCAGATAATTGGCTTACCTTTACCTCGACTTAGAGTAACTTATAGCTACTCAGTCAAGCACTTGATCTTATTCTTGTCTTTCAAGAAGAGAGTAATACCAGTCAATATTCTCCGATGTGTGATGGTTTCGATTTGGATAGGCGCCCAAGGGGTAGATAGAACATTTATTGACGCATAGGTCCTTCGATAATACATATACAAATCAATAACGAAGCATCTGAAGGCCGTATCGAAGGAAGACTTTCGACAAGGCAAGCACACCTAGCTTATTACAAAAATGCAATTGGTCAAGGGAATGATTGAGTGAGGTCTTGAGAAGATAAAGGTTGTTCGCAAGAGAAATTTGTCTCGGAGTTTCAAGAGTCCCAAAAGTGGAACTCTCAGCGGAGCTCAAGGGTAAGCTTGGGTACGTAGTTCTGTCCAACCTGACCCCTCCAACACTTCACCCACCTGAGCTGCGACAACTTGCCTTCTGTATAAGATATTCTACGTCACTTTCCTTCATCGCATCGCATCGCTAACCTCTAAGCTTCGCCCTAAATAACTTGAACGCTTTCAAAATGGCCAGCAAGGTCGATCGCATAGTAGCCCGGCTACAGGCCAAAATCGAAGAGGGCGATTACTACGAGGCTCAGCAACAGACCCGTGTCGCCGCATCCCGTTACATCAAGACCTCCAACTGGCCCGCCGCTATCGACATTCTCTCTAGTGTCTCCCAAGCGCTGTTGCGTGCTGGGCAGGGTGGCAGTGGAGGTGATCTCTGTGCCATGCTCGTCGACGTCTACAAGCAGGCAGAGCTGAAGCCGGATGCTGATTCCAAGGGCAGGCTATTGACTTGTCTGCGACTCTTTGAGGCTGGAGAACCCACAAGGAAGAAGTTTGTGGGCGAGATTGTTGGGTAAGTGGAATAGCATTGCACAAAAAACGCTGTGAGCGCACATTTCTAACATCAGAGGACAGATGGTCAGCCAAGTTCGGCGATTACCCTGCCGGAGACCCAGAGCTTCACCACGTCGCCGGATCACTCTACGCCGAAGAACACGACACATACGAGGCCGAGAAACATCTATTATTGGGCACCAAGGACTCACCCGAGGTTTTGACAAAGATGGAATATACCTGGTACAAGGAGAGTGAACCTCACCAAGCGGCTCTCTTTGCTGGCCGTGCTGTGCTCCCCTACCTCCTAGTCGGCAACGTGCGAGCTGCCAATACCTGCTATCGCCTATTCACCAGCTCTCTTTCCAGCGACAACCCGAACCTCGGTGTTCAAGATGTGTCCAGCCCTGCCGGTGACATCCGCATCTTCCCAAGTCTCCCCCTCCTCAACTTCCTCGGCTTCCTCCTCCTTGCCATTCAGCGTGGCGCACCCGAGCTCTACCGTGCCCTCGTGTCTAAGTATGCGACACAAATCAACGAGGCTGGATCATGGGCCGAGGCGCTCGAGATGGTTGGAGAGATGTATTTCGGTCTTTCCAAGCCTCGGCAGAGCAACCCTCTGATGGATATGATGAGCGGATTCTTTGGTGGCGGTGGTGGTCAGCCAGAGAAGCCCAAGCGTAAGCAGGTTACGCAACGGCAAGATGCCCCCGCGGCAGAGGGTCTGGACTAAAATAGAGTCCGTTTGTAAGGTTGGGTATCGGGTATACCGTATCGTCGTGAGAGGAATACATAGACAGCAGGCGTTGTAAGGTAAACAAAAAGACTTGGTCAGCCACGGTGTTGTTCTTCAGGCTCAAACATCCAGTTATCTTCACTGAGAGCTGCCACTTTCGCTCGTAGACTTGCTCTTACAGCCTCAATGAGTTCTGAGTCATGTTTGTTAGTGTGAGATACATTTAATGAGTGAGTGTAATCGTACCTTCAGGCTGTTCGTGCACATCATGACGATTTATCTGATGATGCTTAACGGCTTCTGCGAGTCTTTGCCTCTCTTCTACTAAACATGAGCTTCCTTCATTCAATATCTGAGACAGGGGCAGCGCATACTTTCACACTCTTGTGCATTATCCAAAGGTATTTCGTCTTCATCGTCCATCATTGGCGTTGGGGGATCTCCAAGCTCAATTTCTCCATGTTTATCGCGAACAACAATTTCAGAAGTATCGGACAAGACATCGACGTCTAAATGCAGTGTCTCGGCGGATGTGGACGTAGAACCGGCGGTAGGTCGCCGGGTCAACTGGCTCTGGAACAGATTGCGACGGACGCCAGCAGAAGAAGCACCGTTGCGGGTGCGCGAGACACCGTTTCCATTTGTAGTTGCACGGGAACGATCGGACATTGTTTTAAGTCAAAGGGATATGATGCAAAAAGTGGTGTTCCTATCCAAAAGTTGATGTTTTCACAATGGTCCCCGAGTCAGATGTGAAGCCAAGTCGCCTATTGTTGACTTTGTTTTGTGTGGGGATGCGCCAGGGTGCCTCCGTCTTAGTGATGGATCTTAGCCACCACCAACTTACATCAATTCGGCTGATCAGCTCGGGCAGTTGCAACTGCCTGCGTGGAACGTAAAAAACGAGGCCATTTTCAATTCAGAGCTGATCAAGGACTGGAAAATCTACGAGCTCCGAGTCATATCTGTTCCATGACCCAAGGTTCACCTTGTCTACCATATTAGAGCGTGTGAATGTTTGCATGTACTCTTTGTCTCCATGATATAAACATGATTGCATCTCAATGAAAGCCCACCTACTCCGTATTTAACGCTAATTCTAACGCAATCCCAGATTCAAAGAGAAGATACGAAAAAACTCCTCGGCGCGTCGAGTTTGTTCATATATTCTTTCAGTCAATGCTGGTTACTAATTACCTAGTTGCTGCTGAACGTGAGACGACAGCATCGCAACCATCCTCCCATCAATATGCCTTAGACTCTTGTTATTAATCGTACATCCAATGCTTGTCTGTCAATCTGTCAATGCGCCCTGACGTTCGCTCGACCTTGTTGCCCGATTCGTGTCGATTCATGGTGTTTACAGAGAAAGGTTGTAGGCGTACTCGTCTTCCATGTTCTGGCTGATCCAAAGAACGACGGAACTGCATGAGGTCAGTAAATACACAGTCTTCACGGTAAACGGAAATCTTACCTCACGCCCACCAGAGCGTTGCTAACTACGTTCTCAATACCCATACCCAGCGCAGGCATTGCGACACTTGGGACAACAAACTTGAGAACAAAGACGGTAACACCACCAGCCATTCCTCCAGCAAGAGCTGCGAAGCCGAGGAACAAGACGACGCGAGCCTTCCATGCCACCCCATTTCCACTATAACTGAAGGAATCGGCGCTCAAGCGTTGCTTCTCGACCGAATTGATGATGAGCATGCCCAGGCTGGAGAAGATGAAGGGCAGCCAGTCAACAAACTTGACGTGGATATCGGAGCCGTTGCGCGGAGATTTAGACCAGACGGCGGAGTCGAGCATAATATAGAAAGCAATGGAGAACTAATAGACCTAGTTAGTATGGATCATACATCATCAATAGCTGGCGCATATAGTCGCGAATAATCTTTTAGCGACAGAGGAAGGAAAATGCTGTGCCAAATAGCTCAACTGCGACATGGAAATGGGCGAGACGTACAATAGCTCCTGCGCCGTAGACACCAGCGTTGCGGGCCCAGACGCTGTTAAGCCACTCGGGCCTTCGGAACTTCCAGAGACGCTCTTCCTCCATGATTACAATTATGCAGCGAAAAAAAAGAGCTAGTTTTCGAAGGGAGTTGGTGCTGCGGATTCGGTTGTCGTTGATTGATGATGAACTTGAAGCTGTCGATGCTGGGAACTTGAGGCCGACAATGACGAGGCTCACGCGTGGACGGGACCGGCCTTGCTGTAGCGCCGATGTCAGGTCACGTGATAAGTATGTACATCTACGGAATCGGCGACGTCGTGAAAGTTTAGAGTGGAGAAGTGTCCTCGTGTGGCTGGACACGATAAACTGCAAAACACAAGAATCCACACGCGGAGCCATAGAAGATCCCCGTCAAGGAGACCATGTCACGTCAATTACCCCGCTGGCGTGTGCGAGGTTTCCTCCGCTCTCATACAGGACCCTGAAAACAACAAACTTGGTGCGTGGAGAAGCGACAAGTATCACCATATTCCAGATACGGCTTGTTATATGCACACAGGGTCTTGTTGGGAGGTATTTGAGTTTCTGGATATTCAGGGCAGATGTCAGGAACAAAAACACTGTCCTGTGGCGTCGTTAAATGCCGATGGTGATCGAACTCTAATTTGCGAATATTGAATCATGGATCATGGATGAGTTTATTTTACCTTGCATAGTCGTTAGAAACGTCGCTCAACGGTTTAATGTTGCATATCCATCTGCACGATAAAGCGGCAGAAAGGGTAGCCACAGAAGCCACATCAAGCACGTCCAAATGGGTGAACCCCTACAAGGAAGCAATTGACAACTTGATACCTGTCTGTTCGCTTGTCGAGTTTCATGCCAACAGTTTGCTATCAAGTAACAAGTGCAATTGATTGCTTATCATGTATCAACTTGCACTTACCTACACCATCCCCTTGTGTGGATGATCGCCAACATTCCATAGCAACCAACCATAGGATCAGAAGAAGGAGCACAACACTGAAGCAACCTTCAATGCCGTTCTGGATGATCAATCAGCCAGTTGGGTCACAAGACTGACCAACAAGTAAACGTGGCGGACGGTTGTGATGAGTTGCACCAGAGGATATGAAAATAGGCGCTGAAGACGAGACATTATTGAAAGTCGCGCCGCAATAGCCA